CCAGTGATACCTGAAAGTTCTGTTTCAATCTGAACGCAGGAGAGTCAGCGAATGAAAAGTCAGCTTCATATCGGCCACCCAATTTCTCTGTAACCAATTGTTGGTCTCTCTGGTCATTTAACCTTTGTATGGAACTAACTGCATTAAATTTGGGTTTTAAATCAAAAGTTGAAGCAGTTGAAGCTGAGCCTTCTTTCATGGAGTCATGACTAGAAGATTTAGTCCCATAAGATAATTCCCTCAACTTTTGTTCCAAAAGCATACTCAAAGCATCACCCCCTATTACATTATAACCCAGTGAAGATAGCTTCATACTGTCTTTGTCAAGCAACAATCTTTTACCCCCATGATCCATGCAAAGACTAGTATTCTTCTCTGCAACCTGAGCTGAGATTTCCGTCCCAGGCAGTGAACGTGTAAGTGGGGCTGTGAATGTAAACGAAACAACATCCATGCCTTTCTTTCTGCTATCTTCAGCCCAACTGTAGTTCCTGTCAGTAATTGGATTAGATTGAACTGGTTTCTGATTTTTTTCACTCAACATATCATCAACAGCCCGATCTTTGTTAAATTGAAAGTTCCCATCTATTGATCGTTTCTTCCTAGGATAATTCCTTGCATTTGAATAGGACACTTCTTTATCACTATCCATTGCCTCTGAGCCCAACTTCCTCGATCCAATTTTGGAATTTCCACTACTTCGAATTGAGCTTTTGTGACGTCCAGAAGAAGAATCCCCAGACAGCACTTTTCTACCTTGCGAGTTGGAAACCAGAGGCTTTGAAGGTAATTTCTCTTTATCAACTAGGCAATTTTGTTTCTGATTGTTCTGCTTAAGAGCACCAGAAGCATTATGTGTAGAAGGTTTCTTATGCAAATTCTTCTGAACATTTGGTTGGCTCCTGAAGGACTGGTTTGAGCTTACCTCACTCTGTTCTTTGTGACCCACCAAGCTTCTATTTCTACTTAAATTCTGACCTCTTTTCTGAACATTGACCTTTGCTTGGATTGCAAGAGAAATGGACTTTCCTCTAGTTTCTTCTGTATCAGAAGAAGCCCTGAATGACAAATCGACAGATCCATTCCAGCTCTTATTCAAAGACTGGCCCCTAAGATACTTAGCAGCATTTGACTCAACAGGCTTTCGTGACACCTCAGAAGGCCTCGTTATCTTATAACCAGCTTCAACTTTATCTTTCAAATCTCGACCTTTCAAGGTTTCTGAAGCAGACCCAACCAGTGGCACTTTTTGGGAAGCCTCCACCTTTTCTTTGAGAGCCTGAACCTTCAAGGGTACTGAAGAGCACCCTACTAGAGGCATTTTGGCCTTGGCAGTAGCTTGAGGTCCTGGCTCCATAATTTTTGCAGCAGCTTCCATCATGTGAGCAGCATTCTTAGTGGGAACAAAGCCAGGATTCTTTATAGGCGACAAAAGTTTATGGTGTGTGATTGGGATAGACTTAGCTGATCTAGGAGGCAATGTTTCAGTTTGGAACCTCTCAATTGGCCTGAGCTTCTGGGGCTTTGCCTCCAAAGGATTCCGGTTAGGCCCTTCCATATTTTTTAGCAGATTTCCAGAATACCTTAACTGATCGTCATGATAACAGTCAATGTTTCTCCTGTGGTAAGGAGCATCTTGGAGAGATTGAGTGTCAAAAAATGGGGTAGAGTAGGGCTCCGAAGAATTGGATGTGGGTAAGGAGTCTAATCCCATAAGCCTGGCTACTACACTAGGGGCTTTTGTTCCAAATCCTTCTTCATCTGTAACCGATGAAGCACAACTATAATCACTGCTACCTTTGACACTAGGCGCTACCCCAGTTTCATCCTCATCTACCTATAAATATAACAAGAATTATAAATAGTATTAGATTCAAACACCATATCAAAATGGTCCAAAGAAATAAGCAGTGCAAGAACACTGAAAAACTGAATTCCCACCAGATGCTGTCGCGTCATTGGCAAGTTCCCATAGCTTTTCTTTCCCTGTTTTGAGCTTTCTAAAAAAAAGAAGAAAAAAAAGAAATCAAAATTCAAAACAACCAACCATGAAATAGGAGAATGATACAAGACCATAAGAGATAAACATAGTATGCCTTATGCAGATACAATACCTGGTAAATCTGACTTGCTAGAGAATAATTTTTTTCGAGATTTTGCAGTCCAGTCAAACAGCTGAAAGAAACCACCCACATGACCTGCTCCACTTTTCGAACCTTCTTTCTCAATCCCCATTTTTCTGATGCAAAAATTAGGAATACTTCAACAATTAAGTAAAAGAAGCATGGAGAACAACAATTTGCGCTCCACTACCGAACTCCCTCTGCAACTTGATCAAAACAAAATAATTTTATAAATATACAACCAATGGAACACATCCATAAACAATTATTTGCATCTATTACCAAAAACAAAATGTTGTGCATCTCTCTATATGTCCTTAAGGGAAGATTATTCCTATGGTAATGGATACCGGTTAACTATTGTTCTAGCTTTCAAGATCAAGGCAGTGTGAACCTCACCAAGCACATCAATTATAAAGCTGAAACTATAGTTAATATCTCTTCACTTGTGATCATACTCGGTATCTTCTGGCATAGCGTAGTCTGTGACATTCAAGAAGCTGAATCAAGGCAAGAAAAGCACTCCACATGATTAGCTACATTTTCTCAGTTTACTCATACTACTATAATAAAGGCTGCAATCTCTGACCTGTCTGCTTCACTTAAGACATGCAACTTGCATTTACCCTCCATCATATACACTTCAAGCATCTAATTTTCTAAATCAAATAGGACCAACAAATTTCACAACCCATTTTAGATTATCAAACACCCAAAATCCACTGGTGCCTAATTTAAGCATGAAGTGAAGCGTTGCCCCATTATTGGCTGCTGAGAAAACAAAAGTGAAAACAAATGAAAAGAAGCTTTTGCATCTCTATGCACCCAACTAAGGGGGAAAAAAGAACTTTATGCACATAAAATTAAAATAAAAAGTCAACATTCAGTGCAGTAGGCTTCCATGTTCCAACAACCAAATCATTAAAGTAAATTACATAAATGTAGTATTGTACAGAAACCAATCCACCCATTCCCCACAAATCCTCAGCAACCAATCACTCCCCCAAGACAAGATGCAAAACAAACCATCAAAACAAATCTAAACCCAAATCACAAACCCAGAAACCAAAAACAAAGATTCCAACTTTACACTGAAATTCAAAGTAAAAACTTACAATAAAACAATGGGGAGGATCAGCTAAGCAAAGCCTCTCTGTGTTCCTGGGGATGGTGGTGGGGAACAAACAAAGTGAAGCCAGCAATGAAAGATTCAGCAGAGATGGGAAGGAACACAATCAAATGAGAAATCTTTTAATTTCTCTGATGTCAGAGTCTTCATTCAGAAACTCACTCTCACTGTCTCAACAGCATTAGAGAGGCAGGCCCTCCCCTGTGTAGTTCAAAGCAATAAATGGGGGATAGAATGGGACTTTTGTGTTTTTTAAAATAATGATTAATAATAAAATATGTTTTCAAAAAAATAAAAAACAAAGACAAAGTTATAAGTTTGTAACGTCTCTTTGGAGAGGGTCTTCATTTCAAATTCCAAATGGGTGTGTCGGAGTGGCCCTCAGATGGTAAGGGAACACGATAAAGTTACGGAGCAGTGCATGTGGGGAATGTGTGCTCAGTGACGTGGCCAGCGCAACTGGGGGGGTACGTGTCAGCCTGTCAGGTGAAGGAGGAGAGAGTATGTGATTCTTTTTGCACCGCAGAGTGACGTTAGTAGTTTTTCAAAAGTCAAATAGAAGAAGACGAATGAAACATCCAGTGCATATTGGGTTGGGCCATAGTTTCGTTTTTTCCGTTGGGCCTTGGGTCCCGCGTTATGAAATTCCTTATAATTTAAGTGTGAATGTTGCTTTGTCTGGCCGTTTAGTTGCGTTGAGCTCAACTTTCATGAGTCATTTTGTTCAGTGTGTTTTGCTTTTATTATCCAGTCCTCCATTATAGTGTAGAATGACTATTTAGAAAAGCCAACATTTTTATTTTGTTTTGACTGAATCCTTTTTATCATTAGTAGGCCTGGGTACGGGTTGGTTCGAAATAGTAGAGGATTCTTTCGTTAATCATATCGAAATTTTTGGTTGGCCAATTTCTCTTCCGTTAACCGAATATTATGAACTTTAATCGTTTAGATTAGTTAACCTAATATTCGGTTCAGGTTAGTTCGATACAACAGTAGTATCATTAAAAAAAAGGGAGTTTCACTAAAACACTCAAAATGAGGGTTAAAATTATAAAAAAAACCCAAGCACTATTTAAACATATAAACACGTCCAAAACCCATTATTACACACACTCAAAACTCATTTATAAACACACCCAAAAAGTTGACTTTGGGGTTGATTTTGGGTGTGTTTCTATGTTTAAATAGTGCTTGGGTTTTTTTATAAATACATGTCTAGGATTGGGTTTATTTATAAATTTGTATAAAAAAAACACATATTAATTATGTAATAAAAATATAATTTTTAATCATTTCAAGGAACAAATATTCCAAATTACCCATAGAAGAGATAAAAGATCAATAGTTTAATTCATCCATGTACGAAATCAAATAACTTAATTTTAGAGTTACAAGCGAACATGAAAAATATATAATAAAATAGCAAATAATGTTACAAATCAGCCATGAAATTATTTTAAAAGAGCCAAAAACTGTAGCAAAGAGGCCTAATAATCTTCAATCCAAATCTGATTTGTGTACTGCACCCAAAGAAACAAAGTCAAGATGGTGGTCGCGCGGCTGATTTGGGCTGACAAAAAGATGAGATTGAGCTCTCTACAAAGACCCCCCAGAAAGAGGAGGGGGGAGGGGGGGGGAGCTGGGGGGAGGGAGGTATGGGTTTTAGGAATATTCATGATTTCAACCGGGCTTTACTTGCTAAACAAGGCTGGAGACTGCTGACATATCAAAATTCTTTTTGGGCTTTGATGATGAAAAGCAGATACTTTCCTTCTTGTAACTTTCTTCAAGCTAGCAAAGGTGCTCGAGCATCGTGGGCGTGGGCTAGCTTGCTGGAGGGCAGGAAAGTGATCATAAGGGGGTCTCAATGGCAGATCTTAAATGGAACCAGGGTAAGGCTATGGGTTGATAAATGGATTCCTATGTCGCCAGATGGCTTACTACATCCTATAAATGATGAGATAGTGGACGAATATGCATTAGTGTCTGAAATCATTAACCCCGTCACCAAAAGTTGGGATTTATCATCTCTCAATGGGAGAATCTCGGTTCAGGATGCTCGAAGGATAAAAGCCATGCCTGTTGGAGGAGGTAGTGAATCTGTTCGTTTGATTTGGCCTTTTAGTGTGTCTGGCTGCTACTCTGTTAAATCTGGATATAACTTGATTCATCCTTGCCACAGTCCTTCTCAAAAGCTTTTGAAAGCCTCGGGATCTCACTTTGTTTCTAAGAAGGTGTGGAAGCTCATTTGGTGTTCCCCTCTAACCCCAAAAATCAAAAACTTTTTGTGGCATGCAGTCAAAGGGTGTTTTCCTACAAGGGCTCTCCTTTTTCGTAGGCATTTGGGCTTATCCCCATTGTGCCCGGTCTGTGAAAATGAGCTGGAAACAATTGAGCATTTACTGTTTTTCTGTAATTGGACCGCAAGTGTCTGGTTTGGAAGTGTGCTATGCTATCGGGTTGATAGGCAAAGTATCACCATTATCGATGAGTGGCTGCTCGGAGTGACTAGTAAGTTGGACAAGGAAAATTTTAATTGGGTGTGGTTTCACATCAGCTTTTTATGCTGGAGTCTATGGAGAAGCAGGTGTGCCTTTGTTTTTGAAGGAAAAAATGTGTGCCCAAAACAAACAATTGCTTGGGGCAGAACTCTAGCAGTAGAACTACTGGAGGTTGTCAAGCTACATAGGCATGGTGCGGAGGAACCTAGCTCGCGGGGGTCCGAATCTATTCAGAGGTGCCTCCCTCCCCCCCAAGCTACTCTTAAGCTAAATGTGGATGCGTCCTGGGACAAGAAGACTTTATTCACAGGTCTTGGAGCGGTCATTCGTGATGAGCATGGTGCTTTTATTAGGGGAGCGGGAAAGTTTAGACTAGCCTCTTCTCCTATTGAAGCTGAAGCTTTTGCAGCTTTACATGGTCTGGAGGTCGCCTCAGATTTGGGTTGTATCCACCTTGAGTGTGAGTCTGATTCAAAGAAGCTGGTTCAAAGTGTTAGTGGTTGTTTTCAAAAAGGTAAATGGACAATCTACCCAATCCTTGCTGCTTTAAAGGAGAAGAGTAGACTGTTTGGCTCTTGCAACTGGAAGTGGATTCCAAGGAAAGCAAACAGAGCAGCGGATGCTGCAGCTTTAGAAGCGAAGAGGAAGATGTGCGATGAGGTCTGGATCAGTCGACCCCCATCCTCCCTGGTTTTCGTGCTCCATAACGATGGTCTTCCTTGTCCTCCACAAGTGTAATGTTTTTTTGTCTAGTTAGGATCTGACGCTTGCCTTCTGGGGTGGCATCCTAGTGTGTTTTGTCCTAGCTGGAACTTAGTGTCTCTTTTTCTGGGTTGGCTGGTTTGGCCTGGTACTGCTTTGTTTAGTAGTTTTTCAAGGGTTAGTAGCTTCTGCTCCTGTTTTGGTTTTGCTTTGCTGTTGTTCTTTGGGTCGTTTGTTTGGCTGCTGTGTATGGTTTGTCCTTTCCTTTTCAATGAAAGTGTGTTTCAAAAAAAAAAAAAAAAAAAAAAAAAAAGATTGATTGAATGCTTCGGGGTTAAAGATGGGGTGCTTGAGGTTTGAGGGTGCGACTGAATGAAAAACTAAAAAAGGCATAGTTAATTTAGGGTTAATGTGTGATATGTTCTAGTGTTTCGCAACCTAGAATAACCTTCATATCCAACCATTAATAAGTTGACGTGTATATAAATAATAAATGAATTATAAATATCGATTCATGATGAATTTTTGTCTGATTAGGGATATTGTTACCTAGTCTTTTAACTAAATATTTCTGTGCGGATTGGATCAGAAGAATTAATAATAAATAATAATAATTTAACCAAATTAAATTGTCGGTTCGGTACCGTCGGTATGCGCATTTTTCGGATGTGATACCCACCCCTAATCAATAGGTCTTCTAAGTCTTGATGATAACTTGTGTTGTTCAAGATTTAGGAGTTTGAGAATGGATATGGAATTGCATTCTCATGTTTATAAGTATACTTGTGGGAATGTAATATCTGACTCGTAGGTATGGACTTCTTATGTAAATGAAATTTCATACTCTTAGCTCTTCATTACTAAATTTTAATAAATAAAAGAAAACAATAATATTATTAGAAAACTCAACAACTTTTATTCAACAAGCCAAAACGTTTTTGGTTCTATGACATATGCTTGTAGATTTATGTCATCTAAAAAGTCGAGAGAAAGCTCTCCAACCAACACATTCATAAGACTTCAAACGTAAACATTCTTCTTTGCTTATTTTTGGGTAACCGATTTCTTTATGGCTTGCAGTCGAACAGGGTATGCTAAACTCTCACAAATCTTAAGCTGATCTGGATTATATATGAATGTACTGTAGTAATAGCACTATGATCAAACATCTTTTTGCTCTTTGTAAATCCCATATATCATAAGAAGGAATTCATGAGCCAATTTCTAGCTTAAACATTTCAGATTCGACAAATTATCACATAAGAAGAAGAAGAATTGGCCATAATACTACCTTGATTGACATTTATCACATTGATCCCAGAAAGCCTTTTGAATGATTCTCATGTTGATAATCCATAACAAAAATTGAACAAATAGTGTTGGCTGGAAAATATGAATGACGGATCACACTAAATTGAAAGAATTAATTACACAACCTTAATTGAAGGCTAATTAACACCCCAAATGCATGCAAATCACAAAATGTTTTGGCAGATCTGAGATAGATTCCTTTACATTCTCTCAATCTACGCATATACAAGCGTAGAATATTTGTTCTTGAACCAACGTACCCCTTTCTTTAAAGCAGATTTAAATTTGGCTTCAACAACATAGGACTTGTATTTGGCCACTCGACGTTGTCTTTTAAGCTCTGATTGGCTGAAACTGTAGATTGACGAAGATTTATGTGATGAATTTTTCTTACTCTCCCACGCATAACCCTCATTGTCAAAGCTCCAGTCACCACTGGGCTCGTAGGGTGACACATAAGTTGACCGCATCTCGTCCATCTCTCTCATCTTTCTCGCCGGCCGATCAAGGTTGACGAGCAAAGAGAGAGAGAGATAGACAGAAACTATTATGGGAGAGCAAAGAGACTTTATAGAGAGACTTGCGGTGCCCTCATTTGTCAATTGAGGTTTGATTAAATAGGAAGGGCTGAAAAATAACCATTGTCTTAATTTATGAGGATGTGACGAGGATCTGTGTTCCATTATCTATACGCAAGCAAAACCGCTCAAAATAATTAAGACAATTAAAACGGGGTTTCTTTGTCAAATTAATGAGCATCTTGAAATAGTATTGGTGAATATATATATATATAATTGTTAAATTTAATGATCATTGAAATTAACATGCTCCTCTAATATTTAAGTAATGGTGTGACTTTGTCAAATTGTTGTTTAGATTCTATATAATATTTGGTGCTCGAAATGAAAGCGAATTTTTATGGAGGGCCAAAAACTGTACGTACAATAATCTATCGTTTCCTTCTGGCAGCTGCACCATGAAGTGTTGGATACACGTGGATCTCCCAATAATTTCCTTCTGGTACTCTTTAGGGTACCCTTCAGTTCGGTACACGTGGATCTCCCAATAATTTAGTGTTGACTTGGTCCTAGAAAACTATTGATTTATCAAACTAGTCCACGTGCTACGTAGTTTGCCATAAGAAAATAATTGTCGATTGATTAGTCGTGGATTGGTTTCTTAGGCCCTTTTCGAATCCAACGTACTTGGATTCAATTTTATAAACTTAAAAACAGATTTTAAGTTTAAAGTCACAAAAATCTGTTTAGTATGCCTATTTTTTAAAACTCAAAAACATCCCTAATTATTAAAAACTAAAAAAGTAAGTTTTATAGTTTTTTTTCTCTCTCGTGTCTTTCTTTCTCCTCCATCCCTCCACGCTCTCTCTCCCGTTGCTTTCTTTTTCCTCCCTTTCTTCTCTCTCTCTCTCTCTCTCTCTCTCCTCCCTCTCTTCTTTTCTTTTGTTAATTTCAATTTGGGAATCTTGGGTTTCTGATTTTCTTTTTTTAATTTCAATTTTTTTAGATCTTAAAAATAGTTTGGAGTTCAAAACCAAACAAGTTTTTAGAAATTAAAATCACTATTTGAAAACTCAAAAAATAAAAAAATCATCGTTTTTAAATTTACTTTTTTGAGTAGAATACTAAACAGGTCTTTATTTTCTTTAAACCACATAAAAATTTGCAAAGAGAAGAGAGGTTGAAGAGGCATGCATCAACAATGCAATGCAAATGCCCACGACTTCGTGGTGCAGCTCCCAGAAGGAAATAGCTTTCGTTACATTGTGTTTTGCTTAAATTTGAACCGTCCAAATATGTTCCACATATACATTGTTTGTTACATTGTAAAGCAAACATTGCTCATTAATTAACTCGAACACTGAAAGATCATAAGTAGCTAGCTATGTCCTAATTCGGACACCACCTTTTCTTTGATATTGTTGTATGTTGTTTTGTTCTCAAAAAAAGAACAAAAGAAATGAGCATACAATATTGTGTATATATAATGTAAATTATCCGGAAAGTCAGCGGCAACAGAGTAGAGCTAGGGCAAACTGAGCTCTCGTTCTTAAATCTTTCTTTTTCTTAATTAACTCGAAGATTCAAAATTTCTTTTCTGGTAAATGGGATTGAACCCATGAAAGATGCAAGTTAATTTCAATAGAAAATTTGGGATGAGTCCAAAATAAAAAACAGAAGTTGGGTGCAATCCATGTATTTGTTGTTGTTGATTTAAGTCTTTTGTCATGTAGGATTACGTTCATTTTTAATTATATTTTTGTTCCAATTATGCCCCTATAAAGCATAAATTAGGTAAATTTTTGTCATGATAATTATGATATATTTAAAACATATTCCATTTAATACAAATGGAAAATACACCATACACGTCTCAAAAATCACGTATCCACCTACAAATCACACAAAATTATACCCAAAACTGTAAACATGCCCTCTTTTCTAGGTATACCCTACCTCAAAACTTGTAATCGGAATTACTGGAAACTTCATACCTTAATAATAGATGAAGTACCTATACATACACCAGGTAATTAAATCCATAAATCACCTCTAGTTTAGATAAATTACCTTAGTTGAGGTAATCAAACTCAAAAGCCACCTCCAATACAGGTATAGAAAAACGAAAAAAGACCCAATTCGACAATGGAACAAGTACCATAAGAAAAGAAGCGAATTCTCAGACCTCCAACACAAGCATAGAAAAACGAAAAAACACTCACACCTCCACAAGAGGTAGATTCACACATAAGTATATTGAGATAAAACTTCATTAAAAGATCTTTGGAAACCCAAGAAAAAAACTATTACCTGCAAAGTAGGTAACTGTATATATATATATAAATACAAAGATTAACTCATCAGATAAGGACAAGCTACAATACCACCTTGTTTTTCTACCCGCAACGAACGCTAAAATCTGGCAAAAGCTAAAGTTATGATCCAAAGGGGCATAGATCCTGATGTATTTACTTGGAACACTTTGATGGATGGCTTCTGTGTAGCGGGTAGGCTTAATAAAGCAAGAGAGCTGTTTCTTTCTATCCCAAGTACAGGGTGTGAACCTGATGCTATTAGCTGCAATGTGTTATATATATATATAATATGATATAAGGAAAACAAAAATGTTGAATTTATTAAGTGTGAAATTGTCAAAGATTTGTTTCATGTTGGGGCTGAGAGTTTCATGTGTGAAATTGCAATGTGTGAAATTGTGAAATTGTAAGAGACGCTTTAATTTTAGGGAGGCGTTTTCAAGGACTTTCATTTCTGATAGTGACATATATTGTAAATTCATTTAAATTTGTAGACATACTAATTACTTACTCAGACGAGACACATGATTACTGGATTATAATTAAAGAGAGAGAGTATATTATATTAACTACATCCATTACATCTTCATGAAAATTGACCTATATTTAACAATCCCTAATTTCAACACACACAATGGAAAGAAAGCTTACCAAAGCTTTGTCATCTTTTATACATGTTTTCAAATAAACCTGGGCTGGGAATATTAGAACTAAGTCAAGGGTGTTGGAGTGTGCATGACTCAAAGTCTCAAACGCAGATCGACGACGTCGTTTTCTTCATCCACTTTCGGAACAGCCTCTTGTTTTGCGATCTGTTTCAAGTACAAGCCATGAGGATCTTTGGGTGCTACCACTGCACCACCAGCAGTATTATAACCAGCACAACCGTCAACGGTTGTGGACCTACTAGAGGAAACGAACATTGGATCGTTGATGATGGGGACACCTGTTGCTGACCGTTGATATTGATCATGATCATGATCATGATGAGGAGGAGGAGGAGGAGGAGGAGGTTGGTGATGTTGCTGGACATGTTCTAATATGGCCATCCTTTCAAGCTGCCTTTCTCTTTTGTGTGCGTTTTGATGTCCACCCAATGCTTGAGAGTTTTCGAACTTCCGGCCACAGTAGTGGCACTCAAACTTCACCATGGGCACTATGTCACGGTGGTCCGTCACCGAAAACCCGAAGAGCTTCATAGATAGTAATTTTCAGCTGAATATTCAGATGATGAAGATGGTTGTATTAATTCCTTCGCTCATATGTTATATATAAACATTGCTACCTCTTGGGAGGACTTGAGGGGTAAATCAAGCATTATCTAAACCTACAGAAATACAGTACTAATGCACAGTAAAAATATGGGCCTTGCTGGCTACGGTCATGCTATAACGCCTTCACTCGCGATCTCGGGTCCTTTTCAACCCACCCATATAACTTAAGTGGACTAGTGCTTTTCTACTATATATATTATTTTTCTATATTTATGTATACACGGAGGATAAGAAAAAGAATGCTCATGTAATTTAAAATGACACTATCTATTCTTTTAGAGTCGTGTGGTCTTATAATTTAAAATTTCAGTTTTCAATAATTGTTTTGTAAAAAAAAATTTATTTAAAAGTTGTTTGGTAACTATTTTTAATTTTCTGTGGAACTTGGAAATGAAAATTTTCTTAGTGTCAAATTTTGAATTTAAGGTCATAGACTGAAAGTGTATGTTTCAAAGAGTCTCTTTTTTTTTTCTTTTTCTTTTTTTCTTTTTTTAATAGCGAATTTTAGAACATGAGGTCCCAAGGCTCAGACTGGGTCTGCAGCCGAACGTAGTCGGGAGATCCCAAATGTCGAGTTTTGAGACTAAAGTGCAATGTATATGTGGTGAAGATAAGTGAATGACAAAAAGGAGGGTAATAAAAAATGAAACGAAAACTGAAAACACTATAAAGTTGGTTTAAAAAATAAAGGTCATTTTGAAAACATAAAACAAATTCTATTACATTCAACTATAGACTCAGTCTAATCCTTGGGGCCTCCATATCTAAATTTTACAACAACAAAAAAAATCATCCTAACTCCAAAGAATTCACCGAAATATACTACAAACTTTGTAACATGCATTTTCATTCTATGATCTCAAATTCACAATTTGTCCTTAAAAAACCCACTTCCGAGTTCCACATAAAACTGAAATAAATTACCAAACAACTTTTAAAAAGATTTTAGTTTTTTTGAAAACTAAAATTATTGTTACCAAACAAGTCTTCTATTTTCAATTTCTTAAAATGAAAAATGAAAACTAGAAACTGAAATGATTATCAAGTGGGCTCTTATTAAACAAGTTTTCAATTTTTTTAGTTTTCAAAAGAAGTGCAAACGAAAACTGAAAAATGAAAACAAAATGGTTGCCCTTATATAATATACTCAAGTGTTTTTTTTCTTTGTCATAGAAAGATTATTACTGTTTTTACTTTTAAGAGTTCCCCTTACATAAGACTTCAAACAATTGGAAGATTTTTAAAATATGTTTTAAAAAAGAGGTTGCAATAATAATCTTTCTTTTAGGATATTGATGTGGTTTGTTTTTTGTTTAGGATATTTTATTTTCTTTTGGGTTTTAGCTTTCGATACAGATTGATTGTTTCTACCGTTGCTCGCAAATCTTTATTGTATGATGTGTTTCTAGTTGTTGATTCGGGAATTTTAATCATTTTTTGGGTTGTGCATATTCTTTCCATATCAATTCAACTTGTTGTTGTGTTTGGTCATTGGAGTAGTTGCATTCATATTCATCACCTTAGTTGCTTTGTACTTGTTTTTGTTTATATTATCAATAAAATATTATCGCTTTTTATAAAATAAAATAAGAAAGTATTGATGACGTATATAATGTATAAATCTGAGCATAAAGATTTCTCATTAATGACATGGACAATGAATTAAATTAATTCCTAAAAGTCTTCGAATACTTCATAAAAGTTACATTAATGTGAGTTTTGCATATAATACGATCTTCAATGGATGGTTACATTAATTATATATGTGAATCATATGATTAATTCCAAGACGGATTAGTTATAAATGAAACACTATGGATTGAAGTTGGAATGCACAATATACACGCAAATAATAGAAGGATTGTCAAATTTATTCACAAAATGATATCGTCTTTTCCTTTATTAGAAATAAACTAGAGCTAAAGCTCAGAGTAAGTGCAAATTAGAAGAAATGAAACACAAGTTAAACACAACAGAGAAGGATTCTCGTCTCTTCCACAAAGCATATCCATCGACATGGATGGATGGATGGATGGATGGATGGATGGATGGATGCATATGCTTGGTGTGCATGCTCATTTTGATCGATCAAATCAAGTAGCAAGAGGCTAGAGCTATATAGCTCTATGTGAACGTAGTACAAAATTATTCCTGCCTTGTTTATTGGGCAGCCAGCCCTCGATAAAAGCGTTGAAAGCAATTGCCTAAAAGACGACAAACACCAAAAAGGCAAAAAGATACGATTGAGGCAGCTGCAGGTAGGGGCCGGAGGGTTGAAGCCATAGATTCGTCCCAAACTTTCCCCCTCTTAAAATTAAATCAAATCACACCTTATCTGATTCTGCTCTTACATATGATCATAGTACACCAATTGCTGTACATGGCCTAACTTTCTATAAATTTCCCAACAAATTATGCATATAGATACGAGGTAATTTACTTCTAGTTTTCGTATGTATGCATTTGCAACAAGCCAGGTTTTTTTCGACAGCCTTCTGTCGGCAAACCACGTGGCCGGAAGGGCATGAAATGAAGGCCCTAGCTAGCCAAGATGAACACGCATGCATCATGACGAATATTTGTCATGTAACATCCGAGAAGAGGATTCCACATAATATAAATATAAGTCAAGGTTTCAAAGGGTGGTCCACCGAACCCTTCATCTCCTCCACAATTGGTGGTGAGGCTAGGCGGGCCTAAACCATATAGGTAGGTTGGTTTGCTTTTTTTTGTTTGTTATGGTAAATTATTGGCCAAGATCAAATCAAATCATACATACATCATATACGTGCCAGTGCCACTGCCTTTATTTTCTTCTCGCGGCGGCAGCTTTAGCTTATGCGCTTCCTGTTGATTCCTACTATTTACCAAATTTGGTTCTCGGGGACTTGTTTTGAGGCTTCTAGTTTTGTGGAAACAATGGTTGCTGTACTTTCTGATCGGATATCCATGGAGCTGATCTTGTCGTCTTTAGTCAAGTTTTCACTGCAAAAAGCCTTTATCATATAAAAAAGCATAGTACAAACGCCTTCAAAATAATTTTGTTACCTAGCTTGTATGTGATATATATACAAAGAAATGTAATGTTTAATTTTATATACAACTAACTAGCCTCTTAGCATATGCTCACACGTATGTTAATTATAATTTTTTCTTCTCCTTAATCGTCAGCTCCCATCACCTTCTCCCTCATCTTAACCAGCCCCATCACCTAAACAACCCACCCCACTCTCTCTCTCTCTCCCCCCAGTCAACCCCCTCCCCCTAATTGTCAAAAGGCTCAAACCCACAAACAAAATCACTAAATTGACTTTAGATTTCACATGTGTGTTTGGGGGTGGTCAAAATTCACCCAATTTGCCAAGGAGGAATTCCTAGCGGCCGAAAAATTCCTATGCGGCCAACAATTCCTAGCGGCCGAAGAATTCCTAGCTGTCGAGATGTCTTCTCAAAAAGGTGGCTGATGTGTTTTCTTCAAAGGCCATGGTACCTTCTCAAGAATGCAGCTGATGTGTTTTCTTCAAAGGCTATGGTGCTTTTTCAAAAATATGGTCAGGCGTTTCCCTTCGCAAAAGTGGTCGAGCACTTCTCAAAAAGGTGGGTCGAGCACTCCTTAAATGCCTTGGTCGGCCACAATGGCGGAGCCGGAATTTATGTGTTGGGGGGCCAACATATAAACCAAATAAGACATTAAAACATTTCAATTTTTCAACCTTAACAATGTTTGTAAAAATAAAAGGCATAAAAAAATTGTTTATTCAATTATGTATCAAAATAACACTCGTCGTTCTTTCATATCTCGAAAACCATTAGGAACAAAAATTTAGTGAATGCTAAAACCATTTGTAATTGAGTCAATACTAAACTTTGCTTCATATAGGAACAAAAATTTAAATCCCAATCCTTTTTTATTTGGGTAAAAGTCTACTTCTTATTTGATAAAGGAGATTTTTTGAAACTTTATTTGATTGGCTAATTTTATGTTTTATTGATATATTGGTGGGCCCAAAATTACTTAGTCTTTCTATTTGAAATCACTTACTCTTTCACTTGCAAAGAGAGAGAAACTTATCTTTTCTTTTGTGAGGGAGCCACAAACAGTTTATTATTATATAGACTTCCTAAATGTGTAGGAAAGCAAGAGCAAAAATTAAATGGAGTAGAAAATTTGGGGGGGGCCCATGCCACTGGTCAGCCACTCCTCTTGCAAAAATCTGGGTCGGGGTGGATTTTCTCCTTGCGCACCCTGTCACCCTCCTCGCAACACTTGGGCAAGCAAAGTTGGGCTGAGGGAGTTAAAGTTCGACGGGAGGTATTTCCGCCGAGAGAGTTGAAGTTCGGGGGGAGGTATGTTCGTCGAGTTCCCAATATTCGAATATTTTGAGAACTCAAACATAGTCCAACGTGGGCCCAAGTCCAACATCTAAATATTTAGAGCTCACATACCACCCACCTTGGTGGATGGTCAACCAATTCTAGAATTCTAAAAACTCAAAGGTCATGAGGTTCCACCAAATGTCGAGATGAAATCTCATAGATGCAAGCCTAAGCCACAAATTCGCGGCCAAGATTTTCGGAGGTCAGTGTGTACGTGACGGAGGCCTCACAAGGAAATAAATCAAGAAGGTTGATGACGATTCGGAATTTTCCAAAACGAGAGAAAATCAAGCAACCATAATATCTCCGCCGACATGATCCACGGATTTTAGGGGCTTCAAAAGGAAAGAGTTTTAAAAGAGTTGACATTTGGCCATTCAATGGCCAGCCCATGGGCCAACGAACGTCTTATATAAACTTCATCAAACGAAGGCAGAAGGCACACAACATCAGACAAACAAACTTATCTTTCGTCTCATACTTTTCTTTTCCTAGACTTAGGATTTTACTTTTCAAGCACCTAATGTAGTGAGTTCTTCCTTTTTTTT